TTTTTTTTTGTCCAGTCTGTGGGCTCTTACTGTGTTACTTACCTTGGCTAGAATACAGTAATGTCATCGTCTCTCACAACAACCTAAAACTCCTGAGCTCAAGCAGTCTTCCTGTCTCAGCCACCTGAGTAGCTGGAACTGTAGGCACTTGGCTTATTTTTCAATTTTTTTTTTTTTTTTTTTGAGATAGAGTCTCAGTATGTTACCGTTGATAGAGTGCCATGGCGTCACAGCTCACAGCAACCTCAAACTCTTGGGCTCAAGTGATTCCTTTGCCTTAGCCTCCCAAGTAATTGGGACGACAGGTGCCTGCCACAGTGCCTGGCTGTTTTTTTTTCAGTTGCAGTTGTCATTTTTGGTTAGCTGTCCCAGGTCTGGTTCGAACCTGCCAATGTCAGGGTATGTGTGGCTGGCACCATAACCACTGTGCTATAGGCACTGGGCCTAATTTTTCAATTTTTATTAGAGATAGGGTCTCACTCTTGGTCAGGTTAGTCTTGAACCCTAGAGCCCAAGCTGATGCTCCTGCCTTTTCCACCTAGAGTGCTGAGATTATAGGTGTGAGCCACTGTGCCTTTTTTTTTCTTTCTCCTTTTTTTTGAAACATAATCTCACTTTGTCACTGTGGGTAGGTGGGTAGAGTGCTGTGGAATCATTATACCTCACAGCAACCTGAAACTCTTGGGCTCAAGAGATCTTCTTGTTTCACCCTCCCAAGTAGCTGGGACTATAGGCATGTGCCATCTCACCTAGCTAGTTTTTTCTGTTTAGTAGAGGTGGGGTCTTGCTCTTGCTCAGGATGGTCTCAAACTCCTGAGCTCAAGCAATCCACCTGCCTCAGCCTCCCCAGAGTACTAGGATTACAGGCATGAGCCACCATGCCCAACCGCTGAGTATTATTCTCATTGGCCTCACAGACTAACCATTTCCCTCTTTGGAGGCATTTAGGTTACATCTAGTGTTTTTCTTTCTTTCTTTTTTTTTTTTACATCTAGTGTTTTTCAAATTCTAATATTTGTATCCTTACATATAAGGCTGTATTCTCATATGAGACTCCAAAAGATTTGTACCACTTCTTGTTACCCACTCTGTGGGCCATTTTAGTGCAGTGCCTTCCTTGGGCTTTTTAGAGGGCACTTAATCCTGTGTGAACAAAAATATAAATGCTGATGATGACAGAGCTTGATTTGGTACTCAACCCTTGCCAGGACTTACGTGGAGAGTCTGACAAACCTCATGCTATTATTGCTTCCATTTTCCAGAGATGGCCATGAGGTTCAGAGTCACCCTCATGATCACCAACAAGCCAAGGTGGTACCATGCTACAACATCCCTTCACCATTTTATTCTTGTAGATTCTGATGATGGTAGGCCTCCCTGCTGCTGGCAAGACCACATGGGCCATTAAACATGCAGCCTCCAACCCTTCTAAGAAGTACAACATTCTGGGCACCAATGCCATCATGGATAAAATGCGGGTAAGGACAGCTGCTGGACTCTTCCTTATCCACCTCCCACCTTCTCAATGCTGCCCTGCTACTAGGACTACTCATTCTTCACCACATCTTGCCCACAGGTGATGGGCCTACGTCGGCAGCGGAACTATGCTGGCCGCTGGGATGTCCTGATCCAGCAGGCCACCCAGTGCCTCAACCGCCTTATCCAGATCGCTGCCCGCAAGAAACGCAACTATATCCTAGATCAGGTACTTAACTGGTGATAATGATGTTCTTGGAAGTGGTGAACCTGTTGGGAGCATATGAATTCTCCTCTAATTTTTTACTTCTTTTTTCTGTAAATGGTCTTTGAACACAGTGCTGATCAGGGGGGTCAGCTATGTTTTCCTGACACGGTCCTAGTCCCTTAGTAAATAGCTTTGAGCTCAGTCTGTGGTTGAGGTCTGCGACCATCATTTAGGCCTCCTAGCTTAGGCTCATCATTGAGCCCAAAGAACACATTAGGTGGGAGCTATTTAGCAAATGGGAAGAAGTGTGAACTTCTCAGCCTACAGACTGGGGCTTGAATCTCAGCTCTTCCAATTCCTAGTTGTGTACCAGCTAACTTTATCCTCTAAATCTCCATCTCCTGGTGTGTAAAATAGGAATCGTAATGACACCCATGTAGCAAACATAGGATCTAACACTTGGCAGCTAGTGATTATTGTTAATTATTTTACAGAATAGGTATATCTCAGCTTCTCTTAGGAACTTTCATGATTGGCAGGTACATATCTAAGTCATATCTACTTTCATTTCCATTAAGGGAATTTTTTTTTTTGAGACAGACCCTCAAGCTGTCCCCCTGGGCAGAGTTCCATGGCATCACAGCTCACAGCAACCTCCAACTCCTGGGCTCAAGCGAGTCCCCTGCCTCCGCCTCCCAAGTAGCTGGGACCACAGGTGCCCGCCACGACACCCGGCTATTTTTTGGTTGCAGCCATCGTTGTTTGGCGGGTCCGGGCTGGGGATTCGAACCCGCCACCTTAGGTGTACGTGGCTGGCGCCTTAGCCGGTTGAGCTATAGGCGCCAAGCCGGAACTATTCTTAACATCAGAGGATCTGGGAACCTTTGAAATTGAACATATAATACTGTGTGGAGGTGTGTCCTTTAAAACACACATATACCGCTCTGTGCCTATGGCTCGAGCGGCTAAGGCGCCAGCCACATACACCTGAGCTGGCGGGTTCGAATCCAGTCCAGGCCCGCCAAACAACAATGATGGCTGCAACCAAAAAATAGCCAGCGTTGTGGCGAGTGCCTGTAGTCCAGCCACTTGGGAGGCTGAGGCAGGAAACTCGCTTGAGCCCAGGAGTTGGAGGTTGCTGTGAGCTGTGATGCCACAGCACTCTACCCAGGGTAACAGCTTGAGGCTCTGTCTCAAAAAAAAAAAAAAACAAAAAACACATATACACATAAAAGCCAGATAGTTTTGAGTTAGGATAGGAAAACTGTTCATGACTTTCATCATTTTCAAAAGGATAAGTGACCCAAAATGATTAAGGATCCCTATCTCAGTAATGAGTTCCACTTTGTTATTGCCTATGCAACCTCATACTTCACATATGTTCTGAAGACTCTCAGGTTGCAAAGTATGTTTCCTGATTTCCAGTATTTGGGGATCTACAAATAAGCTTCCGTTACCCTCAGTCTCAAATGTGCGCTTTCTTAAGAACCTGTGAGTGGCTGGGTGTGGTGGCTCACACCTGTAATCCTAGCACTGTGCTCAGCTGAGGCAGGAGGATTGCTTGAGCTTAGTAGTTTGAGGCTTATCTGAGTGCGAGTGAGACCCCCGACTTATAAAAAAAAATTGAAAAACTCAGCTGGGCGCCATGGTGAGCACCTGTAATCCCAGCAGCTTCGGAGGCTGAGGCAGCAGGGTGCCCATAGCCCGAATTTGAGGATGTAGTGAGCTGTGACGCCATTGCACTCTGCTCAGGGCATAGGTTAGAACTCTGTCTCAACAACAACAAAAAAAAAAGAGGGGGGGGGGAATAAAAGAACCTGTGAGTGAGCAAATATATAAACGGAGTAATGCCACACCCTTGTAACCTTAATGAAATACCCTGTGTACAGGTAGCCCCACTCTTTTTTACTATGCATTCAGAGGGATCCTGGTGAGAGTAGAGCTAGAGACAGTGGTTGGCTTGTCAGAAAGGAATTACCAGGGACCACGTTGCCTTCACCTATGGGTGAGGATCTTATGCAAACAGTTGAACACAGGATAATCTGAAAGCTACTCAAAGTTCCCCCACCTCCACCCCATCAATAATTCACTGAGCCAGCTGTCTTCCCACTTTGAAGATTTGTTTTTAAGACCTTTGGTTTCACTTTGTGGCATTCTCATCAGGACATTTTGGGAAATTTAGTCTAACTTGGGCCCCAATTGGACTCATCCTGAAGGCAGAGTAATAGTATCATTTCAACACCCTGAAGGTACCTATTTTGGACATCCCAGCAAGTATTTCCCTGCCTGTTTTTTTTTTTTTTATTAGTGGTTTCCTGGATAAATCAGCTATGAAACTTTTTTCAAATATGTGGCCCAGTGGAGAAGAATTGTACTCAGGGAGTAGGGTTGTCCAGCAGCTCTGTCTAAGAATCCTAAGTGGCTTTTCTCCGGAGGACAGTTCCCTGCCAACTCAACCAAGCACGTAACAGCTGAGCACCATAAGGCTTACTGTCCGCCTTTATAGCTGGTGCTGGCTTGTTTAAGGACAGAGTCCAAGACTACACTAGGTATACCTGTGGTTTTCAGACTGCCAGCCTCCTGGTGGAGGGACATGCAAGTTTGGCCAAGTGATCCAGGCCAACATTGAGGCGAAGAATCTAAACTCCGAAGGTGGGGGACGAGAAAGATTGTCTGGTTAACCACAGATTAGAGAATTGACTCGGGCCTGGGAAAGAAGTCTAAATCAGTGGTTTGACTGCTTGGCCTAAATTCCAAAAATGCGTTCCAGAAAATGTGAGGGAGGTTGAGCAAAGTGTGAGTGTGAGTGTGTGTGCACACGCACGCACGCACATGTTTCTGTGTAGGAGTAGAATAAGCAGGCAGGCAGGCCCCTGGCCAGATCCAGGCACTTCTCACCCCAGTAGTTTTGGTAATTACAAATAAGTTGATGATGCACAGCTGATAGATAATTTCTAGGCAAGGTGGAACTTACGAAGGGGAGAACAGTAATATAGGCAAAGTCCCTGCATTTCCTAGATCTTATCCCAGGGTCATCTTTTTCCTTCGAGTTTTCCTGAGTTGTGAAACCTCCCTACATTTGGCTCTTCTAGACCTCTTGTTATGTAATTGGCCTCAGAAATGCCCATCCTTGAAAGGGAAGAACAATGTGTCTGCAGAAGCAAGATAGGCCTGTGTAAGCCAGGATTCTGTCTTCGTCTGGCTAGGACCATAGGTCCTACCCTAGGATGCATCTTTTTTTGTTTGTTTTGTTTTGATTTTTTGTTTGTTTGTTTTTGGCCAGGGCTGGCTTTGAACCCAGGCATATGGGGCCGGTGCCCTACCCCTTTGAGCCACAAGCACTGCCTGCATCTTTTCTTTTTTTTTTCTTCCTGAGACAGACTCTTACTCTGTGGCCCTGGGTAGAGTGCCATGGCATCATCATACCTCACAGCAACCTCAAACTCTTGGGCTGAACAGTCCTATTGTCTCAGCCTCCCTAGTAGCTGGGACTATAGGCACCTGCCACTATGCTTAGCTAGTTTCTCTGTTTTTAGTAGAGACAGGTTTTTTTTTTTTTT